TCGGAGAAGCTCGCAGTAAACCAGCTAACAAAACTTCGGATGCTCTCAAAGTCGTCGCACTCGATAGGCATCAATCCGATCACCGCAACATACTTCGGGGAGTTGAGGTATCGGTTAGGGAAAGCATTCCGCTTGTACTGCGCCTCCGCACGAATGCGATCAGCCGTTTCCCGTGTTAAGGCGTTCGTACGGCAAGTCACGACAACCAAATAGCCTTCCACGGCCAGCCCTACCGCGGTGTGGTAGCCGATACCGCTGTTCGTACCGGTCACCAACGCCAGAGGGCGCCTCTCTGACGGCATATCTTCATGGATCACAAACCGGGAGCGCTGCTGGTCAGCCTCAGAGTCGGCGCAATTCACAGGGCGGCAGCGATTGCGAGCCCCACGAGCCAGAATCCGGCTTATGATACCCCATAAAGAGAGTAAAGGTATAAGCATCTTTCGAGAGATGAAAGGTGAAATCATTACTGCCGCAATCGCAGCGAATAGGATTTTGGTCTCGCTTCTAGTCAGAAGCCTCATGGCAAATAAAGTAAGCTTCATTCGGCTTATAATGTAAATACTGTATAGGTAAATATATACGTTAGAGAGTATAAATAAATATAGAAATATATCTATATTTATATAATATATGTTATTCTGTATTATATAATGAATAGGTGTTCGTCTTTAGGTAATAAATTCTGTGACAAAATCTTATGGTCGCTATAGAAAAACAGAAAATGGAAGAGTAATGTTCATAGAGTTGTCTACGCCCCTCCCGGCAAGCTTAGCAGGACAGGACAAAGAGGGTGTCCCCAAGATGTAACAGTGAAACCATTGAAGGCTAGAGGGAATGAGAGATCATTGGTAGATAAATGTGCAGTAATAAAATCCCTCGCAAAGATTCCCCTGACGTCCTTCTTTAAAAATAAATATGCGTGAATAAAATTTGAAGAACCCCGGCGCGACTCTTCACCTCGCCCGTTCCACACATACCTGTACCACACCCGCGCTCATCACAGTGGACCTCGCAGGTCGCGCTGGAATTGCTCCCCGTAGGAAACATGTGGGACGCGCTCTGCCTCACGACGTGCCGCTGCGTAGCTGCCTTCATCCCAAACTTCGTCCCCTTCCGCGTAAGTGAGCTCAACGTTGGGATCACACAGATGCCGCACATAATGCTCAACCAAGAACTGAGCGCAGTAACGCTCTTTGGCAAGACGGAATAACGATTCAGGCTCCTCAGACGCCTCCTCGGGAGGCGGTTCGTCCATAAGTTGGTCTTCTTCGGTTTCTGGAACGGAATCGGGTACCTTGCAGGCCATTGGGGAAGGACTACCCGCACGAGAGTTACGTCCCGGTTGTGGATTAGGAATGTTCGGAATCCCTTCGAAATGATTCGTTTCATGAAGGGGTGCCTCAAATATGAGATCGTTCATGAGCATATTCAACTTTTCAGCGGTCAAATCACCATAACACCCTTCCACTGGAGAGGCAGTTGTGGCCGAGGTGACAATCGAAGGAGTACATGTGCCAGGTAAACGATCGGTTGGGGTTTCATCGACTGAAGAAGATTTCCTTGAATTTCTGGTGGAGCCGTTTGCTGTCGCCTCCTCCCCGTGGTGAGGTGTGAGGAGCAGTATCTCCCCCACGTGCACGAAAGGATCCCCATGGGCGCCCATGACGGGCAGCTCCACGAGCGGATCCCCGGTGAGCACCACGCGTATCGGGTTTATCGCGGCTATATAGCGCTCGAGCGTTCCCTGTAATGCTTTGGGGGCGCCGAGAGTGATCACATTGGTGATGTCAAACCCGCGCTGCGAAAGGAGGAGAGACAAAATCAAAGCGATGGAGCCCCCAACGGCATGACCGACCAGCACCGTACGACGCGATACGTGCAAGGGGGTTTCCTGCAGCAACGTAGTGCACATCGGCTTCGCGCGTGAAAGAAACTCCGCGTGGAAGGTGGTCCGCCTTACCTCCTCGTTGTTTTCGACCTCCACCCGCTCGATTTCTTGCTCCCAGTCGTAGCTGCCGTTGTGGGCACCCTCCCCTGGACAGGCGCAAGCGATGTAGATCACCTGCTTATTATAAGCCTCATCGATCTCAACCACGATGTGGTCATTGCCATGGCGTAGATGATGCGCGCTAACGCTGCTTCGAGTTCCCACAATCGCCTCTGTCATTTGAGATGGAGTTAAGTAGAGGAGGTTGGTCGCGGGGTTTGGCTCGCCGACCGCCGTACGATGAAGCAAAAGGAGATGTTCAGCATACGGGATTAAAGCCTGCTGCATGATCCGATTTTGGCGCTCACTTGTCGCCTCTTCGGAAGCATCGTCGCGCGCCTCTTTCTTTCGCTCAAAGTTGAAAAATTCGATAAAGCTAGACTCCATCCGACGCTGATAAGCAGTATTCCCCACACCTGCGGCTAAAACTTCTAAGAGGGACGTCAGCGAAGAGGTGCCAACTGCGTGCGGCAACAATTCCGCCATACGATATGTAGAGTCAACACCATGAGAGACGTGTGTTTGATAATCTCTCAGAATTTTCTTTCTCTGTGAATTCAACATTCGTCGACTAACAGATGATTTTTTTCTATTCCGTAGACCTTTCTTGGGTTCATTGAATAAACATCTCTCTTTTTTTTCCAGATAAAGCAAAGCATGCGCGAGACGCCTGGAATTTATTTCGGCCTCTTGATTAAAACGAGACGAGATGTACTTCAAAAACTGAGGTTTATTGTGCAAAGGACATTCATGGGAGACCTGCGCGGCTATTAAAAAAAGCTTCCGATATGCACGAAGGGATTCAATCCTCAGAGGTATCATAAGAGACTTACCTCAGTTTCGATTCTTCCGCTATTTACTATTGAGTGGTATAGACAGATCGTTGAGATGTTGAAAAAAAGATAATTTCCACAATGCTTTTTCTTAGCCTCACTATAACTAAGTATACACAATAAAATTGGTATGCATTCAAAAACAAGTAAACAAATAAATGTACTACGTACAAACAATCTTACCTTTACATATATATATATATATATGTTTGAAATGAAAGCCATAAAGGGCCAGAGCAACAAAATTTTCATTGTACTAAACAACTTTAAAGAAAGAAGAAATTAATATACAACTTCAAGAGGGTTAAAAATTATGATAATGATAAAGATAATAATGCTAGAATGTAAATTGATTCATCGGATTATTTAGTAAACTACTAGATACCATCATATTTGATGTATTACACCTCTCACCCTAAGAAAAGTCTACAATTTTTTTGCCCCACGCAATGATCATCTCCGCTTCTTTAACATCCCAGCCATGCTTCTCGAGTAGCAGTTTCGTTTTATTGGTACACTCAAGAAAATATGGACTTACATCGCCGTCCTTCTCCGATGGCACCGCAACAAGTTCCAGCTCATCAAGAGGACACATCGCGCAATGCAGCGTCGTTTGCGCACCCTCTTCACTGGTTTTAAAGATGAATAAACCAAAGATAGATAAAATGAATTGCAAAAATT